TCTGCCGCTTCCTCTGTTCTCGACTGAAGAAATCTACTGTGTAGGCGGAACGTTCTGGAATGAAAATACCTAATTGTTGCACATGTGTCTTACTTATGTACTTCTCGGTATTGTATACCATTGTTATATTCAGACGTACGCTAGGTAGGTTCAACTCACACCCATCCCTGGTTGATCAGGCCCTGATCCACAGCGAGGCCTGGTCTTGAACCAGGATCACTCTCCAGGTATACCACAGGTATATCCTCCAGGTATACTCCAGGTATACCCTCAAGGTATACTCCACATATATCCTCCAGGTATACCCTCCAGGTATACTCCAGGTATATTCTAGGTAAATCCTCCAGGTATACTTCAGTTATATCACTCAGGTATACTCCAGGTATACCTTCTAGATATATTCCAGGTATACCCTCCGGGTATATCCTCCAGGTATACCCTCCAGGAATACTCCAGGTATATCCTCCAGACATACTCCAGGTATATTCAAGGTATGCCCTCCAGGTATATTCTCCAGGTATACCCTCCAGGTATACTCCAGGTATATCCTCCAGATATATGGTACCTGTACAACTACAGAAGTTGCTCGGGAGTTTGTTCCACTCGTCCACAATTCTTGTGTACCATAAAGAAGAACAATGGTACAATACCGTGACTGGAACAAGACACAGGTAACCTACACCTAGTGGAATTAAAATTGTGACGTGAGACTCTCCTATGAGCGGGTTATCTGTGCATTGCCTCGATTGTTAGCACACTCGCCACACACACACTGAAGTCCGGGGATCGATCCCCGGTACGGGTGGAAAAAACATTAGGACGTGTTACCTTACGACACCTGCTGTCCATGTCCACCTAGCAGTAAAATAGGTACCTGGGTGTTAATCGACTGGTGTGGGTCGCATCCTGGGACAAATTTGACCTAATTTATTTATATTATTCTTAAGATACACAATTAAATGTACCAAAGAATGCAAGTCATTGAGATTTTCCTTCTAGTCATGTTATGTGTTTTCTAACAGAGTGGTATACCTAGAGTATACCTGGAGGTATACCTGGATGTATACCTTGAAGTATACCTGGAGGTATACCTGAAGGTAAGCCTGGAAGTATGCCTTGGGGGCATACCTGGAGGTGTACTCCAGGTATACTCCAGGAGGCATACCTAGGGGTATACTTCAGGTATACTTCAGGAGGCATACCTGGAGGTATACTTCAGGTATACTCCAGGAGGCATACCTGGGGGTATACTTCAGGTATACTCCAGGAGGCATACCTAGGGGTATACTCCAGGAGGAATACCTGGGGTATACTCCAGGAGGCATACCTAGGGGTACACTTCGGGTATACTCCAGGAGGCATACCTGGAGGTATACTCCTGGCATGCCGGAGTTCAAGGCCCCTTCGTATATTTTCTGTGTTCTGGCTATGACTGAGGGACTGATTACATCGACTCCAGGCTGAGGGACTGATTACATCGACCCCAGACTGAGGGACTGATTACATCGACTCCAGGCTGAGGGACTGATTACATCGACTCCAGACTGAGGGACTGATTACATCGACCCCAGACTGAGGGACTGATTACATCGACTCCAGGCTGAGGACTGATTACATCGACCCCAGACTGAGGGACTGATTACATCGACCCCAGACTGAGGGACTGATTACATCGACTCCAGGCTGAGGGACTGATTACATCGACCCCAGACTGAGGGACTGATTACATCGACTTCAGGCTGAGGGACTGATTACATCGACTCCAGGCTGAGAGACTGATTACATCGACCCCAGACTGAGGGACTGATTACATCGACTCCAGGCTGAGGGACTGATTACATCGACTCCAGGCTGAGGGACTGATTACATCGACCCCAGACTGAGGGACTGATTACATCGACCCCAGACTGAGGGACTGATTACATCGACTCCAGACTGAGGGACTGATTACATCGACCCCAGACTGAGGGACTGATTACATCGACTCCAGACTGAGGGACTGATTACATCGACCCCAGACTGAGGGACTGATTACATCGACTCCAGGCTGAGGGACTGATTACATCGACTCCAGGCTGAGGGACTGATTACATCGACCCCAGACTGAGGGACTGATTACATCGACCCCAGACTGAGGGACTGATTACATCGACTCCAGGCTGAGGGACTGATTACATCGACTCCAGGCTGAGGGACTGATTACATCGACCCCAGACTGAGGGACTGATTACATCGACTCCAGGCTGAGGGACTGATTACATCGACCCCAGACTGAGGGACTGATTACATCGACCCCAGACTGAGGGACTGATTACATCGACTTCAGGCTGAGGGACTGATTACATCGACCCCAGACTGAGGGACTGATTACATCGACCCCAGACTGAGGGACTGATTACATCGACTCCAGACTGAGGGACTGATTACATCGACTTCAGGCTGAGGGACTGATTACATCGACCCCAGACTGAGGGACTGATTACATCGACCCCAGACTGAGGGACTGATTACATCGACTTCAGGCTGAGGGACTGATTACATCGACTCCAGGCTGAGGGACTGATTACATCGACTCCAGGCTGAGGGACTGATTACATCGACTTCAGGCTGAGGGACTGATTACATCGACTCCAGGCTGAGGGACTGATTACATCGACCCCAGACTGAGGGACTGATTACATCGACTTCAGGCTGAGGGACTGATTACATCGACTCCAGGCTGAGAGACTGATTACATTGACTCCAGGCTGAAGGACTGATTACATCGACTCCAGGCTGAGGGACTGATTACATCGACTGCAGGCTGAGGGACTGATTACATCGACCCCAGGCTGAGGGACTGATTACATCGACTCCAGGCTGAGGGACTGATTACCTTGAGTACAGGCTGAGGGACTGATTACATCGACTCCAGGCTGAGGGACTGATTACATTGAGTACAGGCTGAGGGACTGATTACATCGACTCCAGGCTGAGGGACTGATTACATCGACTCCAGGCTGAGGGACTGATTACATTGAGTACAGGCTGAGGGACTGATTACATCGACTCCAGGCTGAAGGACTGATTACATCGACTCCAGGCTGAAGGACTGATTACATCGACTCCAGGCTGAAGGACTGATTACATCGACCCCAGGCTGAGGGACTGATTACATCGACTCCAGACTGAGGGACTGATTACATTGACTCCAGACTGAGGGACTGATTACATTGACTCCAGACTGAGGGAATGATTACATTGACTCCAGACTGAGGGACTGATTACATTGACTCCAGACTGAGGGACTGATTACATTGACTCCAGACTGAGGGACTGATTACATTGACTCCAGACTGAGGGACTGATTACATTGACTCCAGACTGAGGGACTGATTACATTGACTCCAGGCTGAGGGAATGATTACATTGACTCCAGGCTGAGGGACTGATTACATCGACTCCAGACTGAGGGACTGATTACATCGACTCCAGACTGAGGGACTGATTACATCGACTCCAGACTGAGGGACTGATTACATTGACTCCAGACTGAGGGACTGATTACATCGACTCCAGGCTGAGGTACTGATTACATTGACTCCAGACTGAGGGACTGATTACATTGACTCCAGACTGAGGGACTGATTACATCGACTCCAGACTGAGGGACTGATTACATCGACTCCAGACTGAGGGACTGATTACATCGACTCCAGGCTGAGGGACTGATTACATCGACTCCAGACTGAGGGACTGATTACATCGACTCCAGACTGAGGGACTGATTACATCGACTCCAGACTGAGGGACTGATTACATCGACTCCAGACTGAGGGACTGATTACCTCAAAGTCCTTCTGATCATCACCATTCTTCTTTGTATAGGACTGATGAAGCCGCTGTGGGTAGAAACGTTACCTCAGTAAGACACCCTAGTGTCTTATCAAACTGTCGGTTCTCTGGACCATTTATCAACGTCCCGGCGGCCCGGTCCATAACCATGCCCCATGGTGGATTAGGACCTGATCAACCAGACTGTTACTGCTGGCTGCACGTGAACTGACGTACGAGCCACAGCCTGGCTGCTCAGATACTGAATTTAGTTGCCTGTCCAGCTTCCTGTACTTACAAAATTCTTTACCTCATAGCCAGAAAATGAGAATAGAGATAACAAATGAGTAATCTTAATTTTTAAAGGGGTGGAGTGGTAAGCCAGTGGAAGGTCTCCGTTATATGGCCAAAACCTCCAGCTGTGGGTCATCATATAACAAAGACCATAGTCAGGAAACACTTGTCTTGTTTCCTGACAAACCTTACCTAATCTAACCATAGTGTGTGGGTATTATCTTAATATGTGGGTATCTTCTTAAGATGTGGGTATTATCTTAATATGTGGGTATCTTCTTAATATGAGGGTATTATCTTAATATGTGGGTATCTTCTTAAGATATGGGTATTATCTTAATATGTGAGTGTCTTCTTAATATATGGGTATTATCTTAATATGTGGGTATCTTCTTAAGATGTGGGTATTATCTTAATATGTGGGTATCTTCTTAAGATGTGGGTATTATCTTAATATGTGGGTATCTTCTTATAACAATCATGGGTAATAATATTGGTGGGACGAAGCTCTCCAGGATCTTTGTTACACCAATAATATTACCCATGACTTTTGTCCATTAAACGTGTCCTAATTTCCTTAGGTTGGGTGATTAACGGGGTTTCAAGACTATCTACTACACCATGGTCATTAAGACTACACCTAAGCTTCTCGCCACCAAACAAGAATCTATATATATATTATATATATATATATATATATATATATATATATATATATATATATATATATATATATATATATATATATATATTTATATTGATAGCATAAGAGAATACAAACTAGCAGACTTCGAGATGGCCAAAAAACTTGTTACTGTAAGAGTTGTGTGAAAGAGAGAGGATCAGACCTCTGGTACTTAAGAAGGGCCAGAGTGGGTCTGTCACTCAGTGCCTCATTGACACGCCACCAGCCAGCCAACCAGAGTGCCATTAGTACCTGATTGACACTGTGTCAGCTACCAGACAGTAAGCCAGAGTGCCATCAACACCTGATTGACACTGTGTCAGCTACCAGACAGTAAGCCAGAGTGCCATCAACACCTGATTGACACTGTGTCAGCTACCAGACAGTAAGCCAGAGTGCCATCAACACCTGATTGACACTGTGTCAGCTACCAGACAGTAAGCCAGAGTGCCATCAACACCTGATTGACGCTGTGTCAGCTACCAGACAGTAAGCCAGAGTGCCATCAACACCTGATTGACACTGTGTCAGCTACCAGATAGTAAGCCAGAGTGCCATCAACACCTGATTGACACTGTGTCAGCTACCAGACAGTAAGCCAGAGTGCCATCAACACCTGATTGATACTGTGTCAGCTACCAGATAGTAAGCCAGAGTGCCATCAACACCTGATTGACACTGTGTCAGCTACCAGACAGTAAGCCAGAGTGCCATCAACACCTGATTGACACTGTGTCAGCTACCAGACAGTAAGCCAGAGTGCCATCAAAACCAGATTGACACTGTGTCAGCTACCAGACAGTAAGCCAGAGTGCCATCAACACCTGATTGACACTGTATCAACCAGGCACCAGGCAGCCAGCCAACCAGAGTGCCATCAGTACCTGATTGACACTGTATCAACCAGGCACCAGGCAGCCAGCCAACCAGAGTGCCATCAGTACCTGATCGACACTGTGCCAGCCAGCATGGGCGTCAAGGTATCTCCGAGCGAAACAGAACAGACCTTTAACCTCTTCGATATATAGGACAGGGATACATATAAGCACGTTTCGCTCGCGCAGGGAGCTTCGTCAAGTTATTCACGGCAGTCGGAAGCACCGAAACATGAGCGAAACATCGCTAATAAAGGACTTAAAGTTAAACGTTAATTCTAGGCTTCTAATTCTATTTTCTATATCTAAGATTCCAGTCAATAAGATCAAAGTTAAAAATAACTTGATTGAAACTAGAAGACGTTTCGGTCCTTGGAGAATCATTCTCAGATCGATAGACTTTATGCTAATTGTTCCCTTGACGGTATAATTACCTTCCTATCTATAATAAAGGGGGTTAATAAGTGACTTAGAATCTATCTAATGCAAGTATAACCACCTAAGACCTACGTATGATCTTATAAGTATAATTATCATACTTATCATGCTGGCTTATTAATTCCATAGTTCCCATTGTTAGTGCTTAGTTTGGTTAGGATTCTTTGGCATATTAACTAATTTATTTTTTAAGTGGATTGGTAAGCCAGTGGAAGGCCTCGGTCAGATGACCAAAAGCTCCAGCGTCGGGTCATCATGTAACTAGGACCAGAGTCAGGGACCTGATTTGTTTAGTGGGTCGGGATTGACTGTTTACCTGAGTGGTAGGAGTAGATGGGAGATCAGATTACTCAAACGGTGGTAGTGACTCCAGAGCCAATGATAACCATACAAGATATCGCTTTGAAAGGCCCAAGAAATAGCTAACGGTGTGTTATCCACCCAGGATAACCGGGGAAAGTCAGGGCGTCGTACTGGGACTGACTGTCTTATTTCCATTGGCCTCCTCAGTCTTGTCCCCAGGATGCCACCCACACCAATCGACTAACTCCCAGGTACCTATTTGCTTGCTAGGTGAACCGGACAACAGGTGTAAGAAAACACGCCCAATATTTTTACCCTTCCTGGGGATCGAACCCGGACGCTCAATGTGTGACAATGTGACAGCAGGTACTATACTGACAGGTCTACACTGACAGCAGGTTCTATACTGACAGGTCTACACTGACAGCAGGTTCTATACTGACAGGTCTACACTGACAGCAGGTTCTATACTGACAGGTCTACACTGACAGCAGGTTCTATACTGACAGGTCTACACTGACAGCAGGTTCTATACTGACAGGTCTACACTGACAGCAGGTTCTATACTGAAGGTCTTACACTGACGTAGTTGTGGTATTGTGGGTTAGTTGTGAATTGTTGTAGTTGTGGTATTGTGGGTTAGTTGTAAATTGTTGTAGTTGTGGTATTGTGGGTTAGTTGTGAATTGTTGTAGTTGTGGTATTGTGGATTAGTTGTGAATTGTTGTAGTTGTGGTATTGTGGATTAGTTGTGAATTGTTGTAGTTGTGGTATTGTGGTTAGTTGTGAATTGTTGTAGTTGTGGTATTGTGGGTTAGTTGTGAATTGTTGTGGTTGTGGTATTGTGGGTTAGTTGTGAATTGTTGTAGTTGTGGTATTGTGGGTTAGTTGTTATATGTTGTAATTGTGGTATTGTGGGTTAGTTGTGAATTGTTGTAGTTGTGGTATTGTGGATTAGTTGTGAATTGTTGTAGTTGTGGTATTGTGGATTAGTTGTGAATTGTTGTAGTTGTGGTATTGTGGGTTAGTTGTGAATTGTTGTAGTTGTGGTATTGTGGGTTAGTTGTGAATTGTTGTAGTTGTGGTATTGTGGATTAGTTGTGAATTGTTGTAGTTGTGGTATTGTGGGTTAGTTGTGAATTGTTGTAGTTGTGGTATTGTGGATTAGTTGTGAATTGTTGTAGTTGTGGTATTGTGGATTAGTTGTGAATTGTTGTAGTTGTGGTATTGTGGATTAGCTGTGAATTGTTGTAGTTGTGGTATTGTGGATTAGTTGTGAATTGTTGTAGTTGTGGTATTGTGGATTAGTTGTGAATTGTTGTAGTTGTGGTATTGTGGATTAGTTGTGAATTGTTGTAGTTGTGGTATTGTGGGTTAGTTGTGAATTGTTGTAGTTGTGGTATTGTGGATTAGTTGTGAATTGTTGTAGTTGTGGTATTGTGGATTAGTTGTGAATTGTTGTAGTTGTGGGTATTGTGGATTAGTTGTGAATTGTTGTAGTTGTGGTATTGTGGATTAGTTGTGAATTGTTGTAGTTGTGGTATTGTGGATTAGTTGTGAATTGTTGTAGTTGTGGTATTGTGGATTAGTTGTGAATTGTTGTAGTTGTGGTATTGTGATTAGTTGTGAATTGTTGTAGTTGTGGTATTGTGGGTTAGTTGTGAATTGTTGTAGTCATGGCACTGTGATTTATTCACGATTTTTTTTTGTCTTACCAGATTGTGGTATTGTGGGTGATGGTACTGAGTCTCACTGGCACTACCGTCCACGGCTCTTCTCAGGTATTATTATTATTATTTATTATTATTATATTATTTTATTATTATTATTATTATTATTATTATTATTATTGTTATTATAATTATTATTATTATTATTATTATTATTATTATTATTATTATTATTATTATTATTATTATTTTTATTATTATTATTATTATTATTATTATTATTATAATTATTATTATTATTATTATTATTATTATTATTATTATTATTATTATTATTATTATTATTATTATTATTTATTATTATTATTATTATTATTATTATTATAAAATTATTATTATTATTATTGTTATAATTATATTATTATAAGTATTATTATTATTATTATTATTATTATTATTATTATTATTATTATTATTATTATTATTATTATCATTATTGTTATAATATTATTATTATTATTATTATAAGTATTATTATTATTATTATTATTATTATTATTATTATTATTATATTATTATATTATTGTTATTTTACTGTCGTAGTTGTAATAAAAACAGTAGTGGTAAGGAATAATAGGATCAGTAATAATAATAATATTTATTTACTACCAGTACATGTACAAGGTATACAGACCATAGCTGACATCAGTGACATACTACTATATAGAAAGTCACTTGTTATGCTGAGAATTTCCCGCAAATTAGGTCAGTTTTGTCCCAGGATGCGACCCACACCAGTCCACTAACACCCAGGTACCTACTTACTGCTAGGTGAACAGGGACAGCAATTGTCCCCGTCCCGGGGATCGAACCACGGACACTGTGTGAAGCGAGATTGTTGTTGACCAGGCCACGGGACACGTTAGTAGTAATATTAGCAGTAGTAATAGTAGTAGTAGTAGTAGTATACCAGAGTGTAGTAGGTATAATTTGTCATCCTTGAACATCATGTTGGTAAATAAGACGTTAATTTGACATTTTGGAAATTTGAGGTAATCAGTCCCTCAGACTGGAGATGAGTGATGGACTGAAGACACCGACTCCAGGTTGAGGGAATGATTACCTCAAACTTCACATCTTCCACCGTTCTTCGCTGTACTGGACTGAGGAAGCCACTGTATCTCAATCATCAACTTGTCGGGTTTTCAAAACTATTTAAATAACCACTGACCCACACTAGGAGAACCCCGGAGCTAGAGCTCGTCACAGCCACTCTGGCGGGAGATTCATCTGTAAAAACTTGCATTCGTGGTAACAGTGGTGGCCCATGCTAACCTCTCTATGGTTTTTACCACTAACTCGCCAAGGGTTCAAGCACCCACCCGTTCCCAAGTTTATTTGCAATCGTGTTATGACAATATAGCGAGTAGTACCAGGCAAGTCCAACTCACACCTAAAAATAGCTTTTCACCTTACAGGACTCGTCTGAGGAATCTGGTGAGTCCAGCGAAGGTCACTATAGCTTCAGCTGGACCGTCCGCCACAAGAGTAACAAGTTCGGTCACCAGGAGTCACGCGAGGGAGAGGATACACAAGGTCAATACTACGTTCTCCTGCCAGATGGTCGCCTGCAGAAGGTAACTTTCACCGTCACTGGCGACTCGGGCTATCAGCCAGTGGTCTCCTATGTGGGTGAGGCTTTCCTCCCGGACCTGGAAGAGGAAGAGTCGGATGAATCTGATGAATCAGAGGAAAACGAACTGCCCAATAGGAATTTCTTCTAAAGGACCTCTTGTTGATGAGTTGACTTCCGTGGTACACAATATTCCTTACATGCGCGTTTCTAGTTTTTAAAAGTCTCTGAGAAATATACATACATATATATATATATAATATAAAATATATATATTATATATATATATATATATATATATATATATATATATATATATATATATATATATATATATATATATATAAATATATATAATATATATATATATATGTCGTGCCGAATAGGCAGAACTTGCAATCTTGGCTTACATAGCAACGCTCATCTTGCCATATAGGACAAGGGAAAATTTGTGTATGCAATAATTTCTCCAAAATCATTCTGAACCTAACGAAAAAAATATATTTCACTGTGTTTGTTTAGTATTAAATTATTGTAAACAAATCTAAAATATATATAGTTGGGTTAGGCTAAAAAAAAATTGTTCTTGTTATAATAAGGTTAGGTAAGTTTTCTAAGATTCTTTTGGCGCAAAATTAAAATTTTTTACATTAACATTAATGAAAAAAATATATCTTTAAACGTATAAGAGAAAATTTTAGAAAGGACTTAATTTTAAATGAGTTCTTGCTAATTGATCAGTTTTACATATTCGGCACGACATATATATATATATATATATATATATATATATATATATATATATATATATATATATATATATATATATATATATATTTTATTTATTATCACACTGGCCGATTCCCACCAAGGCAGGGTGGCCCGAAAAAGAAAAACTTTCACCATGATTCACTCCATCACTGTCTTGCCAGAAGGGTGCTTTAAACTACAGTTTTTAAACTGCAACATTCACACCCCTCCTTCAGAGTGCAGGCACTGTACTTCCCATCTCCAGGACTCAAGTCCGGCCTGCCGGTTTCCCTGAATCCCTTCATAAATGTTACTTTGCTCACATTCCAACAGCACGTCAAGTATTAAAAACCATTTGTCTCCATTCACTCCTATCAAACACGCTCACGCATGCCTGCTGGAAGTCCAAGCCCCTCGCACACAAAACCTCCTTTACCCCCTCCCTCCAACCTTTCCTAGGCCGACCCCTACCCTCCCTGCCTTCCACTACAGACTGATACCTCTTGAAGTCACTCTGTTTCGCTCCATTCTCTCTACATGCCAAACCCCTCAACAACCCCCTAAAACCCCGGGCAAATTTTGGTAACCCCCGCCCTCCTCCTAATTCCAAACTCGAATTCTCTGCATATTTTCACACCACACATTGCCCTCAGCTGACATCTCCCTGCCTCCGCCTTCCCCCGCTGAACTTTCATCACCCACGTTCACCCCCTTTTAGAGCGTTGGAAAACTATACTCTATACTTTCCCCCTCTTTGCCTCCAAGGACAAAGTTCTTTGTCTCACAGACTCCTAAGTGCCCACTCACCCTTTTTCCCTCATCAATTTATGTTCACCTCATCTTTCTGACCCATCCGTGACCGTCCACCCCCAAATATTGAATCTTCACCCCCCATACTCCTCCCCCCAAATTTGATATCCAATCTTTCTCCCCTAATTTTTATAATATAATATATAATATATATATATATATATAAAAATATATATATTAAATATATAATAATATATATATATATATTTATTATATTTTATTTTTAAATTATATATTATACATTTTTATATATATAAATATTTATTATATATATATATTTATATTATATATATATATATATATATAATAATATTTTAAAAATTTAAGTTATATATAAATATATTATATACATATATTAATATATATTTAAAAATTTTTTAAATTGTATAATATAATATATATATATATATAAAATAATTTTATATTATATATATAATTTAAATATAAAAATTATATAATATAAAAATTATATATTATATATTATAATAAAATTTTTTTATTTTTTTATTTATTTTATATTTATTTTTATATTATTATTTTTGTATAAGTCTTCATTTTTTTTTAAAAAATTTTTTTCCCCTTTTTTGAATTATATTTCTAATCATTTTAATTGAAAATTAATACACTGTCTTATTTCTGGTGTGACAGAAAAAAAATAGTAGAAGAGGGGGGGGTGCTGCATCTTTTTGGACCGTCAGAAAGCTCTCGACCAGTCCCCACAAGAGACGGGTTAAAAAAGTTGAGGAGCAGACGGGTATAATGGAAAAGAATAAAAGTGATTTAGGTAATGTTTGACAGGAAGGAAAACAAGTGTGTTGGTACGACACGAGGTGTCAGATGGGTCATGTGTCGGTGGGGTTCCACAGGGGTCGTCTTAGGTCATGCTTTTTCTTGTTATTGAATGACGGAAGGGATAGCTCAGGGGTATCCTGCTCGCAACGAGTGAAGGTATGGGGAAATAAAAGTTGACGAGGATCAGGTAAGCCTAAAAAGGGGATCTACAGGCTGCAACTGGTCTGACAAATGACCCCTGGGTTTAACCCCAGCAAGGAAACTTTGAAGTTGGGGAAGAAAAAGAAAACCGCAGACAGGTAAGTTCAAAGTCAAGCTGCAAAACCCTTTAAAGGGAAAAGGATCTTGAGGTGAGCCTATCCGAGAAATTAACCATACAGCCAAAAAACTTCTGCAAATATGGGCCCCGGTGAACCTGGACTAGCCTTTCGACATCAAAGTAAGGAGTATTCACCACACTTTTACCCCCTTTAAAGTCGGGCCCATACTGGAGAATGCAGCACCAGTATGGAACCCACACCGGAAAAACTCAAGAAAAAAGGGAAAATTGCAAACTTTTGCAACAAAATAGCCCCGAGAATGGGGGTTTCCCTACGGGGAGAGGTTAAGGGGAACTCAACCTACGACAGGAAGGATAGGGGAGACATAAAAACCATAAAAATTTATGAGGGGAAAACTGTAAAGTGGATAGAGACAGAATGCAGATATGTGACACGAAACAAGGGGTCACAGTAAAGGGGGTCACAGCTACAGGGGTCACAGACAAGGGGTCACAGAACAAGGGGTCAAAATTGGAAGCAAAAAAAACCGATAGTCACAGGGATGTTAGGAAGTATTTTTTCAGTCACAGGTTGCAGGAAGGGGAAATAATCTGGAGGGGTGATGTAGTGGAGGTAAATCCATACATAGCTTTAAGAGAGGTACGATGAAGCTCATGGTGCGGGAAGAGAGTTGATTAGTGCTACCAGCGAAAGAACGGACCAGGAGCTTGATTCAACACCTGCAACCACAATTTTGAGAGTACACACACACACAACACACCACACACACACACCCACACACACCACCACACGCACACACCCCAACGAACACCACCACAACATACACACCAACACACACCACACACACACATACACACACCACACCATACACACACACACACCCAACACACCAATAAAACACACACCCCAACACCACACACACCCACACACACACACACACACACACACACACACACCACACACACACACACACACACACAGGTGAAGGAGGCAAAAACAAAGTGAAATAGAGAATGGAAAAAAGTACGAAGGCAGGAACACACGAAAATAGGGGATCAGTCGCAGACCCAGGAAGGTACCCCACGGTAAGGAGGGAGGCCCAGCGACAGATAAAAAGACATAGAAATCGGAAATCAAGATGCCCCCGAAACTGTTGTATACCCACATCAGGAGGAAGAAACAGTCAAAGCCCAGGTGACAATTAGGCAAAAAGGTGGAGAACTAAAAGAAATTCAGGGGAAAGTGAGGAGCTGAACGGAGATTTAAGGAATTTTTACAGTAGAGCAGAAGGGCTGGGGGAAAAAGCACAAAAGGGGGAACATCAAGGGAAATACCAACAAGTTTGGATGACATACAAACAATTTGGGGGAAAGGGAAAAAAAGCTTTAAGTGACCTGACACTAAAGGCGAGGGGACCGGCAACTTTCCCCCAGGGCCCTTAGAAAAGGAGCAGAGATGCTGTGTGGCCTCAACCAAAATTTAAAACACATCCCTTGAACTGGGCAATACCTAAAAATGGAAACAGCTAATGTAGCCCCCCTATTTAAGAAAGGAAACAAAACGGGGGCACTAAATCAGACCTGTTCTCTGACATGTTTGGGGAAAAGTCGGAGAAGATTACGGGAAGTTGGTCGAACACCTGGAAAGGAAAAAATTTAAAAATAAAACCCAGCATGGGTTCATGGAAGGCAAATTTTTGTATCACAAACCTCCTGGAGTTTTATTAAAGGTACAGAAGAAGACCAAAAGAGAGGGGTGGGAGATTGTTTTCCTGACGCAGGAAGGCCTTTGACACAGTTCCCCACAAGAGATTTTGTGCAGAAGCTGGAGGATCGGCACACGAAAAGGAAGGGCCTGCAAAGGTAAAGGGAATACCTGCAGGGGGGCAGCAACGGTCATGGTACGTGAAGAGGTATCACATGGGCCCTGTTTGAGCGGGGGGCCCACAGGGGTCAGTTCTAGGGGCCATGCTATTTTTGATATTGTGAACGACATGATGGAAGGATTTTCTGAAGTGTCCCCTTTTGCAGATGACGGAATTTATGAAAGAATTAATCGGACGAGGAGAGGCAGGACTGAAAGAGACCCGGAGAGGCTGGCTTGGGCCGTAAAGGTTTTCGAATTCAAACCAGCCAAATGGGAAAAACTGAAGAGGGGGGAGGCAAAGAAGACCGCAAAAGTATGGCTAGGGGAAAAGCCCCCACTCGGAGAAGGGCCTTGGGGGGCCCTAACACCGAGCACATACCCGGGGGCACACATAACCCAAAAAACTGGCAGCATACGGGCGCCTGGGAACCCGAGATTGCGTTCCGATATAATAAAGGGAAACGTTCAAGACACTGTACACTGTGTATGTTAGGCCCATACTGGAGTATGCAGCACAAGTCTGGAACCCCGCCTGGGCAAGCACGTCAAGAGTTTGAGAAAGTCAAGATTTTTCAACAAGGGTAGTCCCGAGTCAAGGGGAAAGTCGACGAGGAAAGGGGAAGGGAAATCGGAATGACAAAACTGGGGCAGAGGGTCAGGGGGGACATGATAACAACATTAAGATACTGCGGGGGGAAAGACAAGGTGGACAGAGATAGGGTGTTTCC